TTTTTTGAGTTGGAGTCTCACTCTTGTCACCCAGACTGGAGTGCAGTGGCTGCTTCCAGCCACTGCAGCCTCGACCTGCGGGGCTCTGGAGATCCTTCCGCCTCAGCCTTCCAAGTAGCCGGAATTATAGGCGTGCGCTACCACATCTGGCTCATTTTGATTTATTGTAGAGATGAGGTCTCACCAAGTTGCCCAGGCGGATCTCGAATCCATGGGCTCAGGCAATCCACTCACCTCAGCCTCCCAAAGGCACAGGATTACAAGCTGAGCCACCGAGACCGGCTCTCCTGTATATTTATTCAGTTGTTTATATACATCTGTATGGACCTGTAGATGTTTATTTTAGTCTATAAGTTATTATTCCTTACTATTGTTTATTTTGTTGTTCAAATTGTCCCAGATTTGACTTTTGCAAACTCTTTTTAGTTTGCTATTAAGTCCTTTCAACATACCCCCACTGTCGAGCCCTTCCTTACTTTCTGTTACTACAACGTGTGCACTAGGCATATCTTAAAACGTCTCTGTCCCAGGTGTGGAACCAACCATTTCTCCAAGGAACCCTGATTTTGTCTATTGGAAAATGGTATTTAGAAACCAAGATCTGGGTAGTAGGTCTGCTCCAGCTATGGAATGTCATTGTTTCTAGACCTTCTAGCAGACAGAGCTAGGAAATATATGTATCTCAACATACGTGCTCCTGACTTGTACCCCACATCTTTAAAATTAAAAAAAAAGAAAAGAAAAAACATACATGCACACACATCTATATGCATTTCTGTGTCAGTCTGTATCTATACTTAAAAACCATGAATACTTACTGGCAGTCCCATTCCAGTCCCACACCACAGGTTTGTTCTTCCTTTGCTCATTGGAAATTCCTTTCTCCAACAGTGAGAAACCTGGCTCTTGTTAGCCACAATATGTTTACCAATTTACTCAATCCTAGTATATGCATAAAGTGGTTTAGGATTGCTAACCCAAGCTCCTGTGGAAAACAGACTTCCTAAGTGGGAGATGTTTGTGTGTAGTTCCTTTTATCATCAGCCTTGAGGCATACATTCAAAATCGTTTTCCAACTCAGGTAACTTCTTCCACACCCCTGTCAGTGTGATTGTATTCAATTATAATACAGTTGGTTCACTTGTTACTGTTTGTATTCCATTTTGCATCCTCCTTATACACTGCTTGATTTTAATTATTTGTTTTCTTGAGTATGTGGAACATTACCATGATTCTGAACTATACAAACAAGAGATACTCAGCCATGTTATTTCCCCCTCAACCCTGCTAGCCTACTAACCTGCTCCCATTTTCCCATTTTCACGCTGGTCCAGTCTCATTAGTTCCTGGTTTTTTTCTTCCTATATTTTATGATGTTCTCTTCTGCAGAAATGACTAGATACACGTTTTTAAAGTTTTTTTTATATTCCCTTCTCTTTTTCATAAAGGCTAGCATCCTATGGATGGAGTTTTTAAAATGTATTTGATAATCCTTTATGTAATTTTAGTTTTTCTATTTCTATTAAGAAAGGGCAATAACTAATCTTTTGTCTCTTGTTAGAATGTACTTGCCTAAGAAATTTTAGAGTAAATGACTTATTTTTACTTTTTTTTCCCCAAAAGCCCTTTTTGGTTTTCTGAAATGAATCAATTTTATAGATACCGAATTATATTTTCATTTATCAAGGTTAGCATGCCCTGCTTTTCCCTCAGTTAAATGAGTTAGCAATTTGGGGCAGGA